TGTATCTTACATTCCGGAAAAAAATGATGAAATAGAAGAAATGAGGGAGCTTGTTGCTAAACAAAAACTGCAAAACGAAGAGCTTAAAAAAATGATGAACGCCCAACAAGACGAAAACAAAGCAAGGGTGGGGCATCTTGAAAAACTACTTGAAACGACATTGGATCTTATTAATGTATTTACAAAACAACAACAGTAGTAGGTCATAAAGTGTTGATATATGTTTATTGTAGAGTATTTATTTTAGATTAGCAACTTTCCTTTTGACATGTAATAAATAATTATTGTATTATTTTATGATATAATCTTTTGATTTTTTGGTTATTTTTGTTTTTTCATATAGTACTACAAAATAATTTGGATATAGTTTATAAATCAATTATCCATCGGTCCATATGGGATCCGGTATATAATATACACCACTAAAATTGCTAGGGATTCATGACCACGGAATTTGCTAGGAAGTCATCAAACGAAATTTGCTAGGGATTCATGACCGCAGAATTTGCTAGGAAATCATCAAACAGAATTTGCTAGGGATTCAGCACGACAAAATTTGCTACGTAATCACCACCATGGAATTTACTAGGGAATGACCACCATGGAATTTACTAGGGAATGACCACCACAAAATTTACTAGGGAAGCACCACCACAGAATTTTCTAGGGATTCATCACCACGGAATTTGCTAGGGGATCACCACCACGGAATTTGCTAGGGAATCACCACCACGAAATTTGTGATGGAATAACTACAACAGATTGTGTGATGGAATCCTACTACGGAATACACGACGGAATACCACCTACCACGGATTTCATTCCGTTGTTACATTTGTGACGGAATTATCGTTTCCGTTGCAAACCCTTGCTACGACGTTTTTAGGGACGAAAATAGGTCGTTGCAAATTTCGTCGCTATTCGTCTTTTGCAATGGAATTCCAGCTTTTCGCAACAGATTCCTATCGTAGCAAAATCGCGTTTTTCTTGTAGTGATCAATGAGAGACTCTTGGATCCAGTTTTCTTCAGAGACTAGCTTCTGATTTGAGGTAAAAGCTTACATCTTGACCATTTCTCTTGTTAGATATCATTTTGAGGAGTTTTAGGGTTTTCTTCCGTCCATCTTTTGGTTATTGAGTTACTTGAGCGGGTCTTGGAGTTGAGACTCCAGATCTGGACATATTGAGGTCCCATGAGCCCAAAGATCCGAGCTTTATCAAGCTTTGGGCAAGCCTTTATGCATTAAACCCTATAAGAGAGATTGTTTTGGCATTTTGAGCCTTATATGCCATGCAAGGATGTAAAGCTTGCAACTTCGCATGATAAGTGAGCCTTTGAAGGTGAGATCCAGAGTATGAGACGTCATTTCTGCCTGAAATCGTCTAAATGAGATATTGGACTGAAGGGACTCGGCGAGTCGATGAACTGACTCGACGAGTTGGTTAGGGTTTTACCCTGATGGTCTAGACACGTTACAGACTCGGTGAGTTGATGAGACAACTCGACGAGTTGAGAGGGTTTTAACTGTCCTTGGATTTAGAGTGAACCCGACGAGTTGATAGACAACTCCACGAGTTGTTAGGGTTTTTCCTGATCTTCTGGATGCTGCATGGATTGGACGAGTTGGCTAGCAACTCGGCGAGTCGACTCGGGTTTTCGCGATCTTCTGAGTTCAGAGGAACTCGACAAAGTTCATGAGCTGTACTCGGCGAGTTGAGTCAATATGAGCTGTTGACTTGAGTGTTGACTTTTAGATTTGGGCCAGTCTTGAGTGTTGACTTCCGTGGATTTTAGGGTCTTCATCAACTGTGGATTTCGGAGGCTACAGAGGGGCGGAGATTAGACCAGCAGCTCGAGTGTGGAATACATTGCTTTACTCTGCGAGGTGAGTCTTCTCACTATACTTACTTGTGTGGTAATTTATGTGTGACCGGAGGGTCTTATTCGTGTTCTTGACCGCAAAGTCTTATTTACATTATTGACCGGAGGGTCTTAGTACATCATTAATCGGAGGGCCTTATTTGTTGATACTGTGATATGTGTTATCGTGCACACTGTCTCTGTGACTTATGTTGTTGTATTATTCTGTGTACATGTTGATCTTATGTGCTTATACTGAGATACGTGATATCATGCATTTTGTCTTGTGAATTATGTTGTATATCATCCTGTGCATTTTTGAGATACCGGACTGGAGGGTCCGACCGAGCCGTGAGACTGGAGGGTCTTCACTGAGACACATGACTGGAGGGTCCTTATCGAGACATAGCCATGAGAGGCTAATTATTGGTGTGTGGTATTTTGGGGAACTCGCTAAGCTTCGTGCTTACCGTGTTATGTGATTTGGTAAAAATAGGAAATCGCACTTGGAACCTTCAGTTATATGTTGAAATTTGGTTTTGGTGTCCTCTGGATCTAATAGAGGTTTGGTGAGTTTTGATTTTGGGTTCACTCATGTGTATGTTTATTATGTTTTTCTGTTTTCATATGAATATCAATTTTCAGATGTGAATTTCTAATTATTTCACAGAAAATTAAATGGACTGCAACTAAGTGGTATAATGGTAATATCTGGCTAATCTCAATCTGAATCTAAGAGATGGCTTCAACTAAGTAGTATAATGGTAATTTCAATCTCATTCCTCACTTCTGATGCCAATTCTAAGGTACAAATCAAAGTTATGTTACGGCAACAATGTCTATCTCCAAATGAAGTTTCCCCAATCCGGCTACCGGATTGTATCATAGTTTCTTATACATGAGTGTTTGAGAATGATTTGCCACTTGTTCAACATCTACAAGACCACAGGTCATACTATGTGGATTTTAGTTTTGATCTATAAAACTTGAGATTGAACTGTTATGCAGATTTTGATACTAATGTAAATGTGTGTGTGTATATATATATATGTTAATGTGTGGTTGGATAGAAAATACTAAGTGGATTTTAGTTTTGTAATACAAAACGTAATGAGATTTATACATGAAAAGAATGAGTTCAATGTAATTTTCTATGATGAAGACAATTTATATGGTTAATTGTATGTTAAAAACCTAAAGCAAGAATGTGTGAAGTATACCAATGTTACAAAGTATACAAGTGTCCATTATAAAAAATGTAGTTTGAGGGTAACTCAGTCAGAACTTCTAACTGTAACTCAACTTCTAACCTCGTAACCCGGTTAGCTCCCGGTTAGCTCTAACTCTAACTCAGATAGCATCTATTAAATGACCCCTCACAATATTGTATCGTTCCAAATCCTTCTGGCTACCATCCTAACCCTTCTATGATTGAAAAATAGAGGATGTCGGAGCTAACCCCTTGCCCCATTTCTTATGTGTACGGTTCAAAAACAAAAAGATGTCATCGGATGTAGAGGCTAGAGAAACAACAAACACAAATGTTGTCATGTGGCGGTCCTGCTGTCCATGACTTTGAGTCACCACCGGTGGACGGTCGAGGTTGTTTCAATAATTGTTTGGGTTTTAGTCTCGTTACCATGGATTCCGACATAAGAATGGAGGTGTGGTGGGAAGGGTGCGATCCAGTGGTGTTTTAGTGCTCCTATTGGCCGGAGTTAGTATTTTGTTCAGCAAGGACCAGTAGGGTAAGATGATATCGGAGATTATAGGAGGACAAAAAACATCGCTGCTTCACCCCCCCCCCCCCCCCCCCCCCCCCCCCCCCCCCCAACTACATTTTCCATTTGACTACATCTCTGCCCTAATTCAAGGGAAATAGTTTAATCTAGGTGAGCTCTATTGAACCTGCAATTCAGATACTCACAATACAAACAGCAACCCTAATGGAGCCCAATCCTAATGCACATCGATTCCTGTAAGTGTAAACAAAATCCTTTAAATATATGTTCCGCTTAATATGTGCAGTTTATATTTTGAAGTTTGAAATTAAGTATTCGTCGGATTTTGGTTACGTTGATAATGTTTCTTTTTTTGCATTATAAGAACGGTATTAAATGTCAATTTAATCTTATGAACCTTCACTTTAATATAAAAACAAGAAGAGCTTGGTGGAGTGAATCAACGAGTCTGTGGATGATTAAAAAACGAACATTTTTCCTCCACTAATCGTTAAAATACATGTCGATTTTTTTAATGTTTTATTCTTTGGTTGGTATCTACTAATTTACTATCATATTATATTAATTACCTATAAATATAATCCATGTATTAGTCTTAAGAGGTTAATTATCACTTGTAATTTGTGTTTGTTTGGCCGTTCTTTTTGGTTGACAAGTTAATACTTCTTTTACAAATAAAGTAACAGTACATTTTTTAGAAAAAAATATGAACTTTAATTTGAGTAGTATCTATTTACATTTTATATATAATAAATGAAGAACAAAAGTGTTTAATTTTTATTTGTTTATAGTTGATTGTTTGTTTGATCATCATATTGTTGGGTGATCTTTTTCCTTTTCCTCCGTCATATATATATATATATATATATATATATATATATATATATATATATATATATATATATAGAGAGAGAGAGAGAGAGAGAGAGAGGTATTTAAAGTAATTATTGTGTTATTGTATGCATAAATGTAGGCCAATCAAAATTAAATAAAAAATTAGATAATTAAATAAATAAATAAATAAGGGTAATTTAGTAATATGTTTAGTAACTTCCAAAAATAATCCTTATAATCATGGTATTGACTTTTAACCTAAATAAATAAGCGTGTCTTCCTCAATCTCCCACCCGATAAAGCCCTAGCATCCTAGAGGGTATCGACGCTTTCAGATCGTGTATTGAAACCCCTCACTGATCGTCCACGAGTTCTAATCGAAAATCCGGAGTTGCAGCATTTATCTAATCGAGAGTTGAGGAACAACCGAAGGTAGTCACGGAGGAAAGCACCAAGACAGCGGCGTGGCTCTGGGGCTGCTGGGATTTCGATAAAATCTCTGTAAATCGATTCATCGATCGGATCGCACGGAAAGTAGCTTGATTTGATTGATCAACGATAAAATGGGGAGTTTAAAGGCAGTGTTGAAGCATCCGGACGATTTTTACCCTTTGTTGAAGTTGAAGATGGCGGCGAAGAAGGCTGAGAAACAGATCCCGACGGAGCCACACTGGGGTTTCTGTTACCCTATACTTCATAAGGTTTCTAGAAGCTTCGCGCTTGTTATTCAACAGCTCAATCCCGAGCTTCGTGACGTTGTAAGTGTGATTAACCAAACGTCGTCTTGTTTTTATGTGTGTTCTAGCAGTTCTTGGCTGACCTTGTAATTAGTCTAAGATATTTCCGAATCATAATCTACTAAATTACACACACATTGTCACACCCCCAAACCGAAACGGCGGAAACGGTTCTTTGTTCTAGCAGTTCATAAGCATTTTGTTTTGGAAAAACGGTTCTTTGTTCCTTTGAAAAGTGCGTTATCTTTCTCCAGAAAACCATATATTTTCCGATGTAATGAATGTATAAACCTTAAGTAAAAATGATTCTTACCAGTTCCTCCTGCGAGTACTTAGTGTATTCAAATCATATACAATCCAGATCGAACAAACAATCGATTATGTGGTTCTGCCCCAAGCCCACAACCAAACAAGGAATAGGAAGTGAGGCGGAGGCCACACATTCCACTGGTTGTCGGATCCTTATGTACATAATCATGAAGTATTCACTAGATACTTACAAAGTTAACTGTATTGGTCCTTTGATATCTGTTGAAAGTGTTCCTCAAGAAAATCCATTATTTTCTTATTGAATACATGATTAACCAATTCTTTTTATAACTACTTAGCTCATACTAGCTATGTATAAACCAATATCGAACAGACGATTTTGTGGATCTACCCTAAGTCACAACCAAACAAGGAACAGGAAATGAGGCGGAAACCACACATTCCATGGTTTGTCGGATATTCTTCACGCATAGCCTGGATGCATAAACTAAGGTATTACATAATTATCAGTGAATGTTCATTAGTGAAATGAATAACCGCTTGTTTGTAGAGTACTAATGTTTACCCTGGAAAATCCTATATTTTCCCTAAGTGTAAGTTATTGAATTATTTGTTCCAAGCCAAATAGTATAAGCATCTACCATACTTATGTTGTTAAGCATTGTTCTGTTTGAAAACCAATATGAATACCTTTGTATGAAAACCTTTGTATGAATACCGTAGTGTGAATACCCTCCTGCGATCACTTAGTACATACGAGTTATAGAAATCTGGATCGAACAACAGTCGATTGGGTGATTCCGCCCTAAGCCCACAACCAAACAAGGAACATGAAATGAGGCGGAGATCACACATCCCACTGCAAGTTGGATGTTAATTTCATATTATCCTAGTGTATATACTAAGTCATCACATAGTTACTAATCCTGTTGACTGTTTGTTAGGTATATTATTACGTGAACGGGTCGTTGTTTCACCTGTGGATTCTTATAACCATAGTATGGACGATCAACATTACGACGTACTCGGACGTCGTGAAAAATGAAATTTGCCACCCTAGGTTGACTGTAGTTAATTGTATGGGTGCGGGATTGTCACTCCCGTATAGATCTATACACAAACTCACGCTCTCCCTCCAGGAGACTCTGGTTACAAGGCGTCTCACACTGTTGGCTCTCTCAACGAATCCACGAATAATACTATGAAAACCCTTTTTGTTATGAATCCTTGTAAAATAATATCTTTTATTTCATAATTCATAAGTTTGTTTCCTCTGTTCTGAGAACTGTGTTAGTAATCTTTGTATTTTAACATGTTTTATAAAACTGATTTCAAGTCTAGTAGTGACGATGTTTACCATGTATGCTAGTGATAGGAAAATATAATAAATCAAATTATATTTTTAAACACAAGGTTAGTTGTGCTTTTACTTGTATCCTCCCCATGAAAACATTGAAAACTTAGAAAAATATAAGGGTATGAACTCACAGTTAGTTGTGCGCAAGCGTCGAATCAATGAACTGGAAACGAAGACCCTCGAGTTGTTGTACGTGGCATTTAACGGAATCCTAATAACAATTAAATACATATATGTATCTAAATTAGCAATTTCGTTAGATAAAGTGTTGGAAAAACACTTGCTTTCGGTTAACGAATGTTACTGGGACTTGATTGAATCGAGGAAAGCGGGCTTTCAGTCTAATGTACCACTCAGGGAGTGTGTTCGGCCGTGAAAGGGAGTGTACGACCGTGAACCGTGTACGGCCGTAGACTGTCTGTTAAAGGGTGTACGACCTTTGAAGGTGTACGACCGTGAATGAGTGTACGGTCACCGATCTTGAAGGTGTACGGTCCTACACTCAAGAACAAGAGTGCTGGAATCGATGAATACGTGTCCTAGATGCTCCGAAATGAACCCCCAATGGTGTTTTTCCATGTTTTACGGAAGAATAGAGGTGCTTTAGGGGTGTACGGTCGAGAGTCTAGAGAGAGAAGTAAAGGGTGTTCGGCCAGAAACGTGTAAATGAGGGGTAGGGTCTCGTATTTATAGGGTTTTTTGTGGTGGGTGGTGGGGTCCACCTGACGTTGGCCGTAAACGAGTGTACGGCCGTACACGGGTGTACGGCCGTGAACCCAAGTCAGGCCGAGAATGGTTATTTTGATCGACGGAAAACTCAAAATTTCGCGTAGTTTTGGTCCCGACTCATATATGAAGCTCAATTTTATAACAAAATGTCTTTCCAAGCCAATGGAATTTGACGGGACTCAATAAAAATCCAAAATTTTTTAACGGAATTTGGATAACGGAAATGGAAAAAGGTTCGGGTTGTCACATCATCCTCCCGTTAGAGGGAATTTCGTCCCGAAATTCGGATTCCGAGTGGATGGTTAAGGATAAGGAAAGGAGACGATTACTTTGGTTCCATTCAATCCTTGCGTTGTTTTAATGAATTCAGATCCTCACTAGTATTTCGGTGGATCATCATTGTTGTATCTGTTGTTCTGATCTGTGAATAGCGTGTAGGTTTAGCTTGCTCAACCATGTTCATCCAACTGGTAGGATGCCCATTCATAGATCCGAGTAGCTATTGTCCTGAAGTTCATGGTAGGAATCATACCTGGTCCATCTACCATTGTCTCATGTACACAAGTCGTATATAATTAAGAATTATAAGACGGTCGGATGGGTGACTCTGCCCCAGGTCCACAACCAGACAAGGAACAGGAGATAGGGCGGAAACACACATCCTAAGTCCATAGAATCTTAATTATATACCACCCTCGCGTGTACATTTAACATCGATAGGCTAACCGTATTTGTCCCTAGCCTCTATGCTTGAACTTGACTTGTTGCGCGAGTGGTGTTTCCAAAATGGTCTGCTGAGGGTGCTTAAGGAAAGTTACAGGTGGATACCATACTCCTCGCATGAGTATTTTGGAGGTTTGAAGCGATATGAAATTTCAAGGTTCTCATCTAGTTTGTCGTTATGAGTGACGAGAGTTTTGTTATTCGGTCGGTTTAAGGCAAAGGGTCTCGTCGGTGACACATGGGTTTGGTATAACGCAGACTCAGTCAGACTAAGAGGGATGACATCGTAGGATCGCGTGTTAAGTTAGTTCGGAAGGAGTGTTTCGTTATGGGGTCAGTGTATCTGTGTGTGTACGGTTCTAGTGCTTTCTGTATTGACCTTGTTATTACTTCTGCGAATGTTTTGTACTGTATTAAGTGTACTAACTGAGAAATTGTTCTATTGAATGATACTTGATATTATGATCCCTATCTGGTTCTTTTATAATCGCTTGGTGTCTACAAGTCATATATAATTAAGATTGATAAGACGGTTAATTGAGTGACTCTGCTCTAAATCCACAACCAGACAAGGAACAAGAAATAAGGTGGAATCACGCACTCTAGGTCTATTGGTTCTTAATTATATATGGCCCTAATGTCTACACCAAGTCATTATAGCTTACCAGAAAGAGTATTTAGTTTCTACATAAACTATGTGCTTCGTTTAACGAGGAAGAAAATATTATAGTTAGAACTTAGTTGTGAGACGGTTTCCTTGAAAATATAGGTTTGGGAAAAGATTCGAGTTGGAAGACGTACCGCTGTTCTCGGGGGTTTTCGAGGTAGACTCTCCTGCAGTGATCAATAACATTCCTCCCTCTTCACCAGGGTTCCTGGCCAATGGACAATCTCTCTTGAAGTGTCCCGTTTCACCACATTAATGGCAGGTCTGACTCACTTCCTCAAATGGGACCTGAGAGATTGGTCGTGCCGGTGCCCTACAAAAGCGGATGGTGTATCCCCTTCTGAGGCAGTTCTTGCAATACAACTTCTGACACCTTTCGATATGATGGAAGTTGCACTTATTACATTTAGGGAGGGTTCCAGCATAATGACTACCTGGTGTTGATGTGGTTGGTGTCGTAGCAGCATAGTCTGCACCCGTCTGTTGTCCCTCAGAGGGTTCTTGTGTTGGTTGTCTCCTCTTTATGCTCTCAGGCCTTTGATTATCATCACCTCCTTTGGTTGACCCATGAACATGGTCCATTATGCCTTGGCGGATCCCATAGTCCACCAAAGTTCGAGCCAGGCGTTTGGCACTGTCAAACGTAAGAGGTTCCGCTGCTAATACGTTTCCTTGGATTGGAGAAGGCAGTCCCCAAATGTATCTCTCTACCTTCTTGCTCTCTGGGGTAACCATCCCCGGGCATAGTGCAGCTAAGTCGCTGAACCTATCGGTGTATGCTATATGTTGAGCCTACCATGGTAATTCCACAGCTCATGCTCTAGTTTCTGTACTTCGCCCCTCGAGCAGTATTCTTCCAACATCATTTCCTTTAGATTTTCCCAACCCATTATGTTTGCTATTGGAAGAGTCAATGACTTGACATGGTTGTTCTACCATGTAAGGGCTCTGTCAGAGAAGGCGCAGGCAGCAAACTTCACTTTGCTTCCTTCGGGGCACGCGCATAACTCGAAAATTGATTATGTCTTCTCGAACCATCGCATTAGGGCGATGACTCCCCCATTTCCATTAAAGGATTTGGGTCCACAAATCATGAAGTCCTTGTATGAGCACTCCCTTGTGTGTCCGGTTAAAGCTGTTGGTACCACTACCCGATCCACCGGTACCTTTGCATTGATTTGAGTCATGACAGCTGTCACTGCTGCAGCTGTTACTGCCGCCTGAAAGACAACCGGGTCATACTGAGGAGGTGGCGGTGGTGCATTGTTTTTGTTTTTGTTCGACTTCTTCGGTGGCATATTGCTGCCAAAAGGTTTAAAATACGAAACGAGGGTAAGTCCTTAG